GCTCAGTAAGAGAATTGCCTTTATTCTTGAGACACTGGACTTCCTAAATTTACAGTATCCTCAGGAACTCTTTGTTAAACTTTGCTTTAGACCACCTGTTGTTTAGAACTTGGCAAAACAAATGCAAAACTGTTTTGTCTCCTGTACTTTTAACTTTGTTTTCATTTTGTTCTCATGTAATTTCTTCCAGGCACACTGTTTCTTTTTATTTGATTTGACTAACATATTTTTCCTTAATGATTCATCTAGCTAGTAGTTTCAGTTTACAGCTGTGAGTATTTATCAAATGGAAAGTGTGGTTTTTTGGAGTTTACTTCCAAACAAATATAGCTACTGACATGTGAAAGCAGCTTTTTTTTTTATTTTTTTTATTTTTTTATTTTTTTATTTTTTTATTTCTGGTCTTTAAAAAGCAGCCTGAATAGAAGGTTTACTGGTACAGTAATATGTCATCTTTTCACTATTGCTCTTTATATGGTGAATTTACAATCCAAAGCTGAAGACTTGCATTCTGAATATTTGGCACAGATGTTTCTTGAAGGATGTCTAAGGGAAGAGATGTTCTAGCTTTAAACACTTCTCCTATCTTTCTGTTTGATCATAATATATAATGGTTTTACTATAGTCAGCTGTCTCTGCACCAGCTTACATTAGTGTTTGAACTCTACAGCTTCTTGAAAAGGGTCATGTATATGTGTGGTTTGTGTATGTGAGGAGGGCTGTGTGTATGCTGAACTTCTTTCTCTCCCTTTCTCCCCCTCTTTCTCATATTTTCTACTTAATTGTATTGTATAATATAATCTCCATGTATTCTATAAATCCCTTGATGTAAGGGTAAATAAGGAGACTTTGTGCAATTGCAAGCTCCCAATAAAAAACATGCAAAGTAATTCTGTAATGACTTTCATACTGGAAAGTAAATATCATGATCCTGCTCCAGAAGTCATAAAATGTGTTTTCCTTTTCTGGCTTCATATTCTGTGAATATTTTGATCATTGAATATTTTGAGTTGCATGACACCTGTATAAATGAGAAGGAGAGAAATTTCCAGGCCCATGAAACTACAAATATAATACCATGGTGTTGTACTAGAGCTGTTTTGTGTCCAGACTAAAGAGGTTGATGAAACGGCAATTTGTAAATAATTTGCAAATTATCCACACATTGGACACCTAGAAAGGCTTCCTTTTGAAATGTTATCAAGCGTTAGCTGCTGTCAAGAGTCTCAGAATATAATGCTCCTCCCCATCATGAAGGAAGATGGTATTTCAAGAGATAAATGTGATTTGTTAACTGTTGGCATCTAGAATATGGGCGGAGAGGGGGCAAGAGGGATATTGTTCTAGAAATATGGTTTGGGTAAAAGTCACATGTTAATTTTTTTTCCCATGAATCTAAATAGGACCTAATAGGTTAAAAAAAAAATTAAAAAAAAAAAAAAAAGGAACTGGGCTGTGTGTAGACTTGCAGGAGAAATGGTTGCTTTGGGAGGAGCTGGAGAAATGGTTTTCTCCTCTGGTTTCAACAGGGTGTGAGGGGGCTCATACAGAGGATTATTACAATTTCTTTCTTTAAAGTTCAGTAGGAAAGTTTTCATTCTTGGAAGGATGAAAAAATTTTCTACGTGCTATTTCTAGTGCAAATATTTTTTTGCTATTTCAGTATTCTCAGGGTATGTAAATGTCATTGCTAGAATTCTTCATGTGTTATTTATTCAGTATTATAAACTTCTGATTATAATTCTTTGGGGTAACATAAAGTGGATAAAATTGAAACATATTACAGACAGGATAGCTATACACAATTTGTATCTTTTGGTAATGTGCACATATGAAAGCAGAAGGAGTAGCAGAGAGGAACACATTCCCACAACTACTGCATTTACTCTGTTTTAAACTGGCAGTAATTAGTTTTTCCTAAAGTTAGTCTGTTCTGTCTGTGATGGTAACTGCTAACTAAACTCCCTGAGTCCCTGTCTTTCTCTTGACCCGTGAGCTTTTTAATCTTATTTTCTCCTTGGTGGTGTTGAGGAGGATGGGTGAGAGAGCAGCTGTGTGGGTGTCTGGCAGCCACCCAAGGTCAGCCCACCACAATATACAGTGAATTAATAACTGAACTCTTGCTAAAATACCAGGGACTCAGACACCATTTCTGAGTGTTTCTCCATGGCTCAGAGGCAGTGATTATAGATACCTGTAGAACTGTAATTTGTATTTTTAAAGGATGCTGAAAAAAACTCTAGAAAATTAAGGAGGAAAAGGGCGTAGGAACAGAATGAATGAAGAATTCCCTCTGTTGTGTCAGACTTAAACCATAAGGAATGATCTTTAATGGAGAAGAAAACTATGATAGGGTACTATGGTGTATGGGACCAGTGCTGTTTAGTGTCTTCATTATTGACATAGACAAAGGGATCGAGTGCACCCTTGGCAGATTTGCTGGTGACACCAAGATGAGTGGTGCTGTTGCCCCACTTGAAGGATTTGATTGTCGTCCAGAAGGACCTGGACTAATTCAAGAAGTGGCCCATGGGAATGTCATGAGGTTTAAAAAGACTGAATTCAAGGTGCTCCACCTGGGTCAGGCCAACCCCTGGTATCAATCTGTTGCACTAGGACACGAAATAACTTACACACTCACACGAAGATTAAAAGAGCAAAAGGAAGAAACTTTTATTTCTGACTTTGTAATGTATAGAATTTTAAAAGTGATTCAAGGAAGAAATTGCTACCTCTCTCACTACACTGGTTAAACTAACAGTCTATCAATTCTCTCCTCCCACAAAGAATGTAAAAAAATCATTATTTACATGAACAGTGTGTGAGAACTCTAGTAGAAATATGTAAACATCAGAAGGCATACAAAACTTTTAAAAGAACTTAAGAATCAAGAGATTGTTAATTTGTTTGTGTCTTCAGGTCAAGACTAGATATTCATCTGCTAGGGTCTGTGCAACTCTTCCCCCATTAAGCAGGGGAAAGAGAAATTAATTATTTAGGGATAGACGAAGGAGGTGCATGCTTAAGAATGTCTAATCTTGCTATTTTCCTAGTTTCTGTCAGTCAAAAGAAGGTTGTTTTTGACCAAGTCAAGTTTCTAAACATTGATGGAAACAGTTTCTCAGTTCTTGTCCATACTTGCTGTAGCAATTGTTCAGTTGGCTGATGCAGACGGAGGAAATGGACTGCATTAGAAGTGTCTGTGCTGTCTTCTAAACTAGTACTAAACCAAGAGAACTTGAGATACTTTTCAGGAAAAAAGAAGTAGACCTGTGTAAAGAACTGTGATCAGCTGTTTTTAAGCACTTGCTAGCCTGATGTGGATTAATTATAATACCTGCGCCAATTCCTGGTAGCTGGGTGGGGGTTGATGTAGGTCTAGTGGTTATTTCACATGTTCTTTCTGGAATTTCAGTGCTCCCAATACATGAGTGTGAGGAACCAATTTAATTCTGAGTTCTGTTTCAATATTGTTTGAAATTACTGGAGGTGTGGGGGGAGAGGCTGTACAAGTGCTACTTGCAGGAGGCAGCTAGGAGAAGATGGAAAGCCCTGTCTCTCAGGAGACTTTCCCTGGCAACCATCTCACATATAATATAGGCAGTTAGTAGGAGACCACTGAGGCCACTGACCTCCAGAGAGGTTCTCCAGTCAGATGGTGAAAGGGCAATGGGCTGCAGTGGAATGTTGGACTGGGCCAACGATCTCCTCTCAGCATTGCAGACCTTGGGAGGAGACAGGGGTATAAAAATAACTGTATCACAAGCTTAGTAGCTTTTTGTCATTTTGCCCTAACTAGCTGGTTCTTTTACCCCCATTTTTTGCCTTCGTTGGCCCTTGCTTGCCCTTCCTCTCTTGCTGTCACCCCTCCCTGGCTGGACACTTGCTGACCACGTCCTGTGGCCTGCCCTACCACTTCATCTCCCTGGTGTGCTCCAGCCTGCCTGTCCTGCCTACCTGCGCTCCTGGCGATGCCCGACCTGCTTCTCTCCCTGCCTGCCTTGTTCCTGCCTGAGCCAGCTGCTCTCAACTCTGCATCACAGCTCTAGCCTGTGTCCACGACCCCCACTATGACCTGTCCAGAGTTCTGCAGCTCCTGCTCGAGCGCCGCTCACCTCGTGTCTGGCTGCCCATTTATGTTTCTGCAGGAGTCTTTGCTCTGGGAGCTACAAAGGCTCCCCTGGTGGGGCACGTTCACACACCTCCTGCCAGCCGGACATCAGCAGCCCACCCTGAGATTCTGGTAGTAATGCCCATTTTTTCTCTCAGTTGCCCCCCGTCTCTTTCTCTGCCCATTCTTTTTCCTTCTCCTTGTTCATCTTCTGGCTTTTCTATTTTTCCTTAGTAGGGCAACATTCTTTTCACTACCAATAAATGGTTCTCAGACACAATACTTGCCTCATTTCACATAATTCCATCCTCAGACATCTGTTTTAGAAGAACCCCCCGCAGTTCCCCCTTAGTGGAATGCAACAAGGAGATATCCAAGAGAGTATGAGGATTTTTTTTCTTTCTTTGAGTTAAAACTAGATAAATCTTAATTATCTTCCTTCTCTTTTCAAGAAGAATTTGAGATAATTGCCAATTATTGTACGTATTTTTTACCCTGTAGAATCTGTAAGTGGTACTCAGAAAATGTGCATGCCTTGTAATAAGAATGTTATAGAAAATATACTTATGGATTAATAGATATCTCCCCAGTTATAAACAGACATTACCATAGCATAAAATGTTTACTGTTTATATACACTTAAATATCATTATGCCATTGTAAAAAAGAAATATTACTTATTTTTTACAGATGCCAGAACCTGGAGAAAAAAGATTAACTGTTCAAGGCCAGCCCTGGTCTAGCTCTTTGTCTGTACTCTCTCATAGGCAATGTCTAACTTGTACAGTGTGAGGAGGTCTCAAAAATACTGCTTGCAGCTGCCAAATCACGTGTGAAATCACAAATGTTTATTGCTGAATTGTCTTTTTTTTTTGCTGTCCCCTTGCAGGTCCTGATGTGTCTGGAATCTCCATTGAAACAGATAACAAAAATGTAAAAGCAGAGGAGTTCAAGGGTATAGTATGGGCATTGTTGTGATAATTTTTATTGTATACACAATACATGCAAACCATGCATACAGAAGCTGTGCAGCTATTGAGGTTGTCTTCCTCTTTCCTGAGGGGTCTTGTGCCTACTCTCTCCACTGATTCTTTGTTATCTTGGTCTTGTCCCCATTTTCTCTTACTTGAGGTGGAGTTGACCTCGGTGCTCCCCAGAGATCCTTTTCAGCCTCACCTGTTCTATGGTTCTGTGACTTGTGTGTCAGCCCTGTGACTTCTGCCATGGGAGCTGATGGAAAGGAGAAACATTAAATATCTTACAAGACAGAAAAGTGAGGGACTAGAGAGAACAGATATAAGTTTGTTAATTGCAACTAACAATAATTTAATGGCTGTTTTTACTTGTCAGTAGCTGTAATGGCTATTTACATAGTTATATATGTTATATATATATGTGTGTGTCATATATAAAATAGCAAAATACTTCAAATAATGGGGTGGAGAACTTAGAGAGGCAAAGAGGAAAACCTGTTTTGTGGGTAGCTAAGAAAGGGGAATACTGTAGAGTGAGGTTTGTGGGTTATGTGGGTTTGTTTTTCGAATTTGGTTGGAGTGGAGAGAGGTAGGAATTTGGGATCAAAAAACCCATTCTCTGAGCTTTAAACCTTATTCAGCTTCTTGAGGTAATAATCAACTATTTTAGAGGTCTCTAAAATTGTCATCTGGACTTCTGTTAAGTATTCTTTTCTTGACAGAATCCATTTAGAGCTCAAGGCAGGCAAAACCACAGAGAAATGTTTCAGGTAATACTAAAACTTGATCAGGTTCTGTCTTTTTATGTGGTATATGGCTTGTATTTTGTCTTTTGTTACTTGCACATTGAATGGAATCAGTTTAGCACAGCCCAGATGCCAAGCCAAGCTCTCCATGTGAGAACTAAGGAATGGTGGGGCCAATTTATTCCACTGTGAGTACAGCTTGTCTGAAATGCATTTTCCTTCTCTCCTCTAACTCCTCTTACTGTAGAGGAGGATGGTCAGGCGCTGGGACAGGCTTCCCAGGGGAGTGGTCATGGTACCAGGCCTGACAGAGCTCAAGGAGCACCTAGGTGACACTGCTAGTCATGGTTTTGTTTTAGGTAGTTCTGCAAGGAGAAGGGAGTTGGGCTCACTGACTCTTAGCATTCCTTCCAACTCGAGATATTCTATAATTCTATCACCAATGATAGCCTCCAGACCAGCTGTAAATCCAAATTAAATATTGTGCAGATCTCTCCACGATTCCAGAGGGCTTTTGTGGGCCCAGCAGTACCAGTGCTGATGCACAGTATCCTGTGGACCTACCTTAATGCAAATCAAGTACACCTGCTCTGGAAAATACTTCTTCCTGACTCCATTCCTATGGGAAAAAGCAGGAGAGGGGAGCTATAACTGAGGATGATTTTACTGTGTTGTCTCTGTTCTGTGCACACTCCCTTTCTTCCATCCATTCCTTTTCTCTGAATAAGATTAGTGGGTGGGCATCAGTGCTAGGTTTTTTCTGAAACAAAAACATGTGGCATGCAAGAAAGGGGCAGCTCATTTGGGACAGAGGTGACTTGTTCAGCTGGGAACACTTCAGCTGAGCTCTGTGTCAGCTAACACAGACCAGCTCATTTGACAAGCCAACTGTCAGCAGGCCAGTAGCAAAAGCAAGCTGAGCTTGAATGATGGTTTCTCTTTGTTAGAAGGATACAAAAACAAAATGGAAAGGAAACTAGCAAATCTTAAGATTCAGGAAGCCTCCACCCATACACTCAACCTGAAGTCAGGAACCTCAGACTTCCTGAGTGCACAGTATGTTTTTCAAAACAGCCAGTGCATGTGTAACATGTTTCTGGCAAGGAATGCTCTCCTGCCTCAATTTTTCTTTCAAGTCTGGATATTTTTTTTTACCCCTATGAGGTATCACCAAGGCTACCAGTCTGGGTTTTTGTTTCTTTTCTGAGCAGACCTAGGAAATCAGACTCTGAAGGGCAAAGGAGTAGATCTCTCTGCAGCTCTTAATTACCTTCCAGCCTCATTTGTTTAGACTGTAAAGAAATGTGATGGTTGATTATGTTTGAACAGTGCATGTTAGCATTATGAAAGCTAGACAGTCCTTGTCAAAACTATAAAGGATTTTATTTTATTTACTCTGGATATTGTGGCCTATATTGGAAAATTGGTAGCTTACAGGTAGCAAGGTCTATATTGCATTTGTTTCTTTAACCATCTTACTGGAATATTTTTCATCTCCATTAAGTTATACATTTAAACAGAAAAGCTATTGATACTGAATTCAGAATGGTACTTCAAAAAATATGTTTATAACAGGGTTAGAGTCGCCTTTTTTAGGGATGATCTGGTCAGAAATTTTTAAACTAAAATGAGGGTAGTAATAAAGAATGTAATTGGTAAAGTAGATATTCCTATGTTAGATGGGGAAAGTAATAAACCCTATCCAGCATGGGAATCCCCAGCATCTGAGGTCTGACCCAAAAGCCACTGAAGTATAAGAAAATTACTGGTTTCTTTCTCCCCGCTGTGTGTAAATCTGGAGAAGCACCACTTTGAGAAGTAGATCTAGCCATTGCTGACTGTACAAGTTCTTTTGAAGGAGGAACATGAATTTCAGGGAGCTTGAATGTATACCAACACAATACTAAAATCTCTAATTTTCCCTTTTGCCTTTATTATTTTTTTTCTTCTCTCTAGAGGCTATTCTTAGTTGCAAACACAAATTTTCGAAAGGGATGAGTTTAAGAATAGAGTGGAAGAAAATCCAGTCTCAAGGAGTCTCATTTGTCTACTACAACAGTGAATTTACAGGTACAGTACTGCATGGTTTAACATGTCATTCTCTAGCACAGCTATTGACTCTTTCTTGGGGAGCAACACCAAGAATAAGACTGAATAAGAAGGCTCTTGGCTGTTCATATAGAAGAGCTGTCCTTTTCAGAAAGAGAATTCTTGTCAGGGGAAAAAAAAAGACATTTCTTTATAAATTATTATTTACTTTTTAATTAACTTAAATATAATAAAAATTGAAGACTAAGAAAAATGGTACTGCAGATTCCTTGGGATTTTTCAACAATGAAATTACATGCGGATGTAAACTCCCCTAAACTACTGCAGGCTCTGCACTCTCATCCTAAAAAGAGGTTTCTCAAGCCTCCTGTAAAGCAGGAGGCTTAGATATGAATAATGCAGAATTTTTTATATACATAAAATATAAACTCAGCTATATATTATAAATTATTTGTATTCTTTTCAGAAGTAGAATTTCTCTTTGTATGGTTTGAAAAGGATTTCTTCAGCTTTGTGTGTTGGAGAACATATGAGTCTCTGTTACATTGTACACAACAAACAAAGGTTGAGAAATAAAAGCACAGAGATTTTGTTAGTTTGTAGAGCTTGCAGATGTGTTGACCTTGATGAACTTGTTTTTTTCCTGCATATATTTAATTTAGAGAAACACTCAGACTCATGCTTCTGTGTGTGCATGTAACTTTCATAATAAGCTGTAGAATTAAAAAGACTTATTCATTGTAGGAAGTCTGATGGCAGTGTTTTTGCTAAATCCATCAGGTTTTTCTTGCCAGGTTAAAATGTCAAATACTCTGCTGTGGTCTCACTCACAACCTTTTCTTTAAGGCAATTGAGTTAGTGATTGCCATGCCTTTAGTGGAAAGGGATGTCTTTCAGTCACCTCACTACTGCTATACGTATTTTCTTGAACCACCTGCAGAAAAATGGATAATGTGGATTCCAAGTGGATAATGTATGGCAGATGGAGGTTTTTTGAATTGAAGGTGTTTTTTTGGACTAAATGGAAGGTTCATACTGTTTTGAGAAGGGGCTTACATATTGCTCTTTGCTGATAGGTAACTAACACTGAACAAATGAGCAATAGTTTCATGTACAATATGATGTAAAATGTCAATATATTGCACATGATTCCAGAATAAGCCAATGAGGCATAGATATTTGCTTCAGACTGAAAGAGGAGAAATTTATTCTAGATATACAGAGGAAATATATGAAGGAAGTTCTTCCCTGTGAGGATGGTGAGGCCCTGGCACAGGTTGTCCAGAGAAGCTGTGCCTGCCCCATCCCTGGAAGTGTTCCAGACCAGGTTGGATGGGGCTTGGAACAACTTGGTCTAGTGGAAGGTGTCCCTGCCCATGGCAGTGGGGATAGAACAAGATGATCTTCAAGGTCCCTTCCAATCCAAACCATTCTGTGATTCTATGATTCTATAAGCAAAGAGCAGAAACCTCTCTGTCTTGTTCTCCCTAAAGGTGATCTTCGAGGCCGAGCAGAGATGCTGAATACAGGAATCCGAATTAGGAATGTGACTAGAAGGGATTCTGGGACCTACCGCTGTGAAATCAGTGCCAAGAGTGAAGAGGGGCAACGCCTGGGAGAAGCTACTATTACTCTCACAGTATTGGGTACCAATTTTATTACTTAGGCTTTTTAAAGAAACTGGATGATGAGGTGTTGGGGTGCTGAACGTAGGGTTGTCCACACAGCATGTGGCTGCTGGGTTTTTGGGTCTTCTTTGGGCTGGGTTTATAAACACACTTGCACACAAACATTGTACAACATCACAAAAGAGCTTGGCAAAAGTCACACTTGCATTAGAAAGGGACTTAACTAGGGTTTTATTAAATCAGAGTGAGTTTCAGTTCTCAAAACTGAAATCGCTCAGTGACTGAGAATCTGGATAAGATGATCATGGTGTTTGGCACTGGAAAGTCAGCATCTGTCAACACTTATCAAATATTCACAAGCAGAAGTTCATTCCAATATGCTACAGTCTTGTCCTGGTTTTGGAAGGAGTTTTTGTGCAATGACAGCCAGAGAGCTGGCAGTCAGTGGGCTTTATTCACAGGAGAGATGGTGGTGCCTGCTGGGGAGCAGTTGTTCTTTGTGGGTCTTGTTTTCTTTCCCAGTTAAGGAATTGATGGAAAAGTGAATACTGAGCACATTGTTCTCACATTGGGTTTGGTATTTGCTGCACTGGATGAGTGGTAGAGGCCAATAGTTTTCTTTTTTTTACCTGTACAAGGACAAAAGAAAATACTTGTTTTTGTAGACTCTAGATTTGTCCTATTAAAGCTAGTAATACTTGATCATTCAAAACTATACATAAAGTTTCTAAGTTCTTCATAAAAGATGATAAATGCACAAACTTCTGATAAGCATCAACAATGAGGTAACCCCACTGTCTTCTACTTTCCCAACAGCTTTTCTGTTTTAAATGTGATTTCTTAATTTAAAGTTGAAGTCCTCAAAGCCAAAGAGAAGTGGGGGGGCAGCACGTGTTGCTTACAAACCTTTTTGAAAGTTAATGTGAATTAGTATTTAATTTGGTTTTCTATATCTCTGCTTTTTATCTTAAAATTAACCAAGAAAAAACCAGCTATACTAGTTAAGGTGTCAGTTGTTCTTTTAATGTTCCATGGATGCCTCTTCACCATTATTTTTCTTCTATATAATGTTAAGTACCAAAAAAAAAATTTAATTCCTTTTCTGTTCATATTAAAAATCAAAAAAGATACATTCATCCTCATAGGAGAAGGAGCAAATAGTTCTCCTGCATCTGTGGGGGGGAATGTTCATTTTTAATTTAAACTGGAATGTAGTAACCAATTGGTTTTGGTCCTCACATTGGGGTTTATAAAGTACCTATGACCATTGCCAATGTCTCGGTGAATCTTTCTGACATTCACTTTTCAAAAATTGACTCCTTTTAATACAAAAACTCTTTTTCCTCCTCCTCACTTAGGTTTTTAAATACTAGGGTAGAGAAGGGGCCAATTGCTGGACTTCAGATTCTGAGTTATCCCATCTGTCTGTGAACAAGAGGTTGCATACAAGCAACGAGGTGAAACAAACTCTAGGGTTGGATGAAAGTGCACAGACCGGAGACAGGATGACACAGCATATGGTGGGGGGAGGCTGGCAGTAAGCATCTCTTTCATTTTTAGCAACTCATAAATTTTACTGTGCTCTCAGTAGCAGGATTGTGCCTTCCAGCCCTTCTCCTACACCTCATTTCATTGATATGGTAGTTATCAAACATGCACAAGTGCTTGCCTCCTCACAATGACTGTCAGCCTGCTGTCATGTTACCATGATCCCATTAGGAAAGTTCTTAGAAATGCCTCTGCCCGAATTAAGGAGCAAACTAGATCATATGCCAGTGACAATAGTATGGGGCTTATTTAATAGTAAGTATATGAGAGAAGGAGAGAGAGAGAAATAAGAAATAGGTGAGAGGGACAGAGAGTAACAAGGACAGAATAAGGAAAATACCACCACTCCATGGATCCCAATGATGTTTCACTGATCCTCTCCAGCTGGTCTTGGTGGTGAAGGTCCCCCCTGAAAGCACAGAATCTAATAGGTGAATAAATACTCAGTCTAGGTAGGAAAATCCAGGCTCCTCCCTTGGGGGGCAGGGGGAGTTTACCATTGTCTCTTACATGCTGGGTTTGTTGTATCACGTGCAGTCCAGTGGTGCAAGGCTTCAGGAATGACACTGGGGAGCACTTTAGTAGGCTTTTGATGGATTAAGGCACCCCCTCATCTGCCTCTCACATGAATATCCCATGGATGTGGCCTTCCCAAGGTTGGTGGTTCCATAGCCAGTTTGTGTAAGGGAGGATGGGTTCCCTGCCCCTGAGCAGAGGTTACAACACACCGAAACTTCCTCCCCCTACATCAGCTGGGGGGAAAATCTGTGCAAACCTGCTCCCAGCCTGCTCCTGTGGGCTACTGTGACAGCTATAGCTGGTCTATAGCAGCACAGATAATTAGGCCATAACAGATACCAACCCGACCAGCCTAACTCGTTAGAGAATAAGTAGTAAACAAGTCCCCAGGTTTTAAGTCAATAGGCTGAATTCAAGTTCAAACAAGGGGACCCCAGCCAATCCCTTTGAACCAGGAATGCACCTGTATCATTGGCCAGTGAGCTGTGCAGAGTTAAGACTTTGACCAATAATATCTGGAAGCATGGGAAATTCAAAGCCCCTGTATAAGAGGGCACACATCAATAAACTCTGGCTGTTGCTGTATGAACCTTGGTGTGTATACGTTGCATTCCTGTCTCCATCAGTGACAGTCTATGGCCTCCCTCACTCCAAAGCAAGCCCAAGATGATTCTTAGCATGGCTGCTGGGTTTGGCTCACATCCTTTTCCATGTTTACTTGCTTGTTTCAGGTGATTAAGAATGAGTTTTCACTTTATTTAATCTCAGCATTTGACTTTCAGTCCGAACTCCAAGTCAGGTATCTTTAGGGAGGCTTCTTTGGTTGTAGCTTCTTAATACAGTTTTCGTTATAATGGGCAAAACTTAACATCAATGTTTGAGGCATGAACTATTTCAGACTCTGACACATGTGGACAGTATAAGTACATTTGTAACAAGTTCAATTTCACTGTCCAGTTGCTCCGACTACTCCAGTGTGTGAGGTACCCAGCTCCGCAATGACAGGAACGGTCGTGCAGATGAGTTGTAAGGAAACTGAGGGCTCCCCTCCGTCTGAGTACCAGTGGTACAAGAATGGTGTTGCCTTGCTGGAGAAGACAGGAACAGGCAGTGCTAGAGCAGCAAACATAACTTACACCATGAATAAAAAGTCTGGCACGCTGGTAAGTGTAATAACCAACTCTGTCATAGACGGCTATCGAGGAGACCAAATTTACTGTTCAGTAAAATTATCTAGGGATCTAAATCCAGAAGTTCACAAGGTCTTTGTTGGAGGTCAATGTCATGCTGAAATGTGCTGAGAAAATGCAGAAGGTGGTTTCTGCCTCAAACCAGTGACAAGCCGTAGACATTGAATGACACGTACAAACTGGGTGAGGAGCAAGGGTGCAGTAGTGATAATTGAGAATCTAGAAATACATGACAAATTTTACCTTGTGAGTTGGTAAACTAGTGCCAGGTGAGAATGAGGTCTCAGTATGGCAACAGAGATATATTTGACAGAACCTTAAAATTTGGAATAGTAGCTTCATAGACTTCAAGGGGAGTGCAGCACTGAGGGCAGTACAGAAACTCTGCACTCCAATGCTATTTACAAGTTCCCATCCAGGACCTGTGAAGTCAGTGGGAATGAGTTGGGACTGTAAGTAAGCTTAGCTCTTCGTTTTAGTTGTAGTTTGTTTTGTGGGTCGTAATGTTGGGTTTTATTTGCCTTCAGAGCTGGCTGTCTCTCTCATTCTTACCCCATTAACTGATCCTTCAAAAGAACTTGATGCTACTTAGGAAGCTGAGATTTTTCAGAAGTAAAGAGTTATTCTAAAAACACTACTCTTGTGCAGAATCAAACATGGAAATTGAAGTATGACTAAGCATTCAGATGTTCTGAATGCTCATCACAGAAATCAGGTGGACTATTCAAACTTAATCACTATTCAAACTTACTAATCACTTCTGAAAATATCTAAGTATGGCATACATTAAAAAGACACAGTTAACAAGTCTAATAATTATGAAAATAGAAATACTGGAATTGGCATGAGGTCAGTTTCTATCCATCTCTTTGTAATGGATCAAGTGAGAGATTTAGAAAAGCCCTGCCTTAGGCTTAGATTTTTTGCAGCAGCTCTACTTAGGTGACCTGCACCTAAATCTCTCTGGCTCACAAGTTCTTAAGAGGGAACAGTTAGATCTATTATAAATAGAGTTACTTACTGAATTGGCAGAAAGTTACAGACAAGAGGCCTTAAACACTTATTTATCACACAGTGTAAAATAAAAGAACTACTAGTAGATTACATAAAATCGTGCATGACTTTAAGGTATCTGTATTACGGCTAGCAAGGAAATAGTGCAGGTTAGGAGTCAATGTAACTTACCACCACATTGCTGATAGGGTACAAAGAGTTCTTACACTCAGCCCCCAGGACAGCAACCACAAAGTGGGGTACTGACTTTGGTGAGGAGAGCTCACACTTTTGCAGGGAATGTGCAGAAGATTCTTGCTTTGTGAAAATATGGTGTAGCTTTTACAATTTGTGAAGTGTATGTCAATCAGAAATTCCAGCTTGTCTTTTCACATCTGCTTCCATAGCAAGATGTTTACTGTCAGCTGAAAGCATCACTCCTATGGCAATGAAATAATTCACTACAAGATAAACTGTCCTGATTGAGTTACTTCACCGAGGCTCCTGTGAGGCTCATGTGAGAGCAAGATGCTATGAGTTATTGCACCAACTAGCAAGCAAGAGATAAGCTCTTCTGTGGAAGGGGAGATGTCCTGCTAGTCTCGTTTGCATTTCATTTTCATTTTTACAGTAGCAGTATTTAATAAATAGTACTGTTTAGCATTTCTCTGTTGGAAGAAGACAAAGTGCAAACAACTCTTTACTTCTGAAAAATTTCTGTTGACATTGCATCATAAGTAGTATGTGGCAAGTTTTTTGAAGGATCAGTTACTGGTGTTATTGTTTTGATAAAACGAAGAAACAGTTTGATTTCAAGTATTCTGAAATTAGAGCACATCTAAAAAACTGGATATTATTATTATTATTATTAAAAAAGCGTAAAGTTCTGGTCCACTGAAAATTAATTTCCTTGTAGATACACTCCACTGAGTTTAAATGTCCATCTAAAGGAACCTCTTAGGCAACAAGTAAAAGTTGAAGGACCAGGGAATGTGACTAGGGAGCTGTTACGAGGTTGAAATGGAACAGGATTTCTTACTTGCCTTCAGGGTTTCATTTGTTTAAAACAAACAAATCTACATTGACATGTCAAAATTTCTATCCTACAGGATTTTTTCCCCGTTCTGATAATGGTTTTGGATTGTTTCTTAACAGCTGTTTAATACAGTTACAAAGAATGACACTGGAGAGTATTTCTGTGAAGCCTCCAATGGGATTGGATTATCTCAGAAATGTTCAGTAAAGCGAATGCAAGTTGGTATGTGTTAAAGAAAATAATGGTGGAAAACAATCTTGCAGTAGGATTTATGTAATTGCATGGTAGCTAAGAATCTAAGACCAGATTGAATTAAATCTTTTTATTTGATTATGGCATTTGTGGGGAGGAGAAATAATAAGCTCCTTATTGAGTAATTAGCTTTTAGATTGCTAAACACTAAACTTCACAGAAAAGCATCAGCTATATGAGAACTTTAATATTTCCAAATGCTTTTGTGGAAGGCTTACAGAAGAGTGTGCCAGATCACTGGGGCATTTTCTTTATATAAAGCCTCCCTTTTGGGATTCATTCATGGGAAATCTTAATGTAACAGTCTTTAATAAACCAAAATGTGTGAGGATTTTTTGCAAAATATACAACTGGTTCTTGCAGATATCATAGGAAAGCAAATGGTAACAAATTCTATTAAGTACTGCAGGGAAGACCCTGTCCAAGTATTCCATAAAGCAGCACATGGAACTGCAAAGTTCCATATGTTGCTTTCATGGAACTTAGCTGAAAATCATTGTGCCATGGGTTTTAATGCATTCTTGGTGGATTATGAGCAAATTTTCCTCAAGCTACTGAGATAGAATCACTCTGTGAAAATATGCAGTAAATCCTAAACTGCTGTCAGCCTAAATCGTACAAAAATTTGTTAGGTTTTGGGGTAAAAATGTCAGCCTAAAGTTGGGATCCAAATAAATGGAAACAAAACAAAAACCTATGAAAATGTTTCTCCTTCTTGATCATTTTGGTTTTCCTAAAATGAATAAGTTTGAAGCTCTTAGCGATTATATCAGGATATGAGTATAGTCTCTGTCATGGTTGAAGTCAAGCCATCACCTTCAAAATAAAAATGGCCAGATGTTTCAGTAGCCTGGTGTAGAGTTTAACTTCAGGAAACTCTGCTTTATTGTGTTGTATTTTAAAAGCCTTATTATTTAAAAATTTAAAAATCATTGAGTTTCAAGTAACTAATTTGAAGAGTTCTCTACAAGTGGAACTCAATTGCCACCAGTTGTTTCAGTTGTGTTAAGCAAATGATGAAACTTACTTTAACACTTAAAAATATTTCATTATGTTTTTCCTCAGAGATATATGACTTGGGTAATATTTTTCTGGGGTAGATATGATAAAGAATATGTATCCCTTGGTCCTTCTTATTATTTTCTTACTTTTGATCCAAACTAAGGAGCTGATGTGTACCAAGCACTTCTGTTAGTGACTGTGGGACATTAGTGGCTTTTTACTGCTTACTTACATCTGTTACTAATTAACTTATGCATCTTGGGCCAAAGCTCACCTATAGATATAAAAATGCCTGTGTTAATTAGGGAAAAATCCAGCCAGTAGAAATTTTTACAATTTAGAACAGAGGACTTCTGCTTTATAATTACAGATGACCTTAATGTAAGTGGTATCATTGTGGCTGTAGTATTGGTGGCTCTGGTGATGGTTCTGTGTGGCCTTGGAGTATTCTATGCCCAAAAAAAGGGCTACTTTGCAAGTAAGTAGAATAAAATCACTCCTTTCTTGAGTCAAAAAATGTCTTTATTTAGCAGTATTTCCATTACATTCTCTCTTGCCTAGAGAAGCTGTGGATGCCCCATCCCTTGAAGTGTTCAAGGACAGGTTGGAGGGAGTCCCGAGCAACCCGTTCTAGTGGAAGGTGTCCCTGCTTATGGCAGGGATTTAGAACCAGATGATCATTAAAGTCCCTTCCTACCCAAACCATTCCATGATTTTATGATTCTGATGATGTCCTCCTTTCCATAAAGGTTCTAGCTCCATGGTACTAAAGCTAGAGAGCATTAAAACAACAAATTTTGTGCAGACATTTTTATTCTGCCAACGTCTACTGCAAAAGGTACTTTGAAAATGACACGGAGATGTTTGCACAGTTGCTTAAGGCTACCAAACAACAACCTAGGGAAAGCAACAAGCCTGACTCTGGTTCTTGGAACCTCTCCACCCTAGTTTTGATAAGGAATGCCTAATAAAGGCAAAATAAAATAAGCCCACTTTAGTCAACAATGCCTGACCAATTAAATTCCGATGAAACTAAATTAACTGTCTTCTTCCTCTGGGTCATGGGAAAAGTTTGCATTTAGGGATTGCTGTATAAAGCTTGATATCCAGCAACCCTCTCTGTAGCCTTTACATTGGTACCTATAGGCTTGAGCACAGCAACAACAGATGCCAAACATTGGGGTCTGTAAAGGTCAGCTGCCTGAAATTACCAGAGGCTTCAGAGCTGCTCGTTAGAGTCCACTTGGAGCTTCATTTACCCTTGAAAGCAACCTAATCTTTCTTCTGCCTAAACTCACTACACCAAAAAGAGACATTTGGGTCAGAAAGTCCTTCTAGAAATTGAAGAGCTGAATATTCTAGGAATAACTACTTCAAAAAACTTCAGATCAGCTAAGGAAACTATTCCTGTACTAATTCTTTTCTTTTCTTTCTTTTTCAGAGGAAAGTTCTTCCCAGTAAGTAAGCAAGTACACAAATCACTGCAAACCTCATTTACATTTCAGATTTTTTAGTAACTATAATGATTTTTACAGCCTTTCTAACATATTTTTGTGCAATAGCTTTCTTGGCACTGAGATAAATCTGATCCTACACACTAGCTGCTTTCTTAAATAGAAACTAGTGTGGTGGTCAGAAAGTGAATCATTACATTAATGTGATAAATACACAGATATGTGTCTTTTTACATAGTTATAGCTTACACTCCTAACTCAGCTATTCATGTGTCTTCTCTTCAAACTAGACAAAAGACAATCAGAACCAAATTGAACTGCTCTCATATCCGTAAGTTATTTCAGGAAGTGTTTTGTAAAAATATAACTGGTGGAAACTTTCTGACAGTGCCTGGTCTATTCCTTTGATATGGATTTATTTCACTCAAATTTCTCAGTAGCAAGTCAAAATTCCTCAAGCTATTTTAGTTTTGGTCATGACCTAGACAAAAAGTGTAACTGGAAGACTGGGAAAGACAAGCTAGAGAAGGTGTTTGGCAGTGGTTTATGAGATCATGACTGATATCTAAAAGCATTCAATGGATTTGTTACTGTAAGTTTTTTATAAGAGAAGGGGAAAAAAATCCCCAAGGATTACTGGAAATCTGGAAAAATGCATTCATATATAAAGCTCCCAAAAGGAAGTACTGGAAAAGTAGCTATTTAACCTGTATTCCTTTCCTGCTCTGTTAACAGAAAGAAGATGAACTATCAATCTACAAGTGAAAAGGCAAGTCTTCTGTGTTCAGTAGTGTATTTTAAAAGCTTTTGATATCTTCAAAGTTCCTTAGATCTGTCATGTCTTTCCACATGTACACAATCTCCTCACTCCTGCCATGCCCATACCTGGCAACACTTTGCATTTACAGCTTCCTATTGCATAGTCTTAAGTGCAACACAGCTGCAGCATTTTGCTCCATACTTTGCATCTTCTTGTACACATTGAGTAATTAACTGAGACACAGACCAAGACAGCAGTGAGAGAAAGATTGGCTCTAACTCTTCTAAGAATAATGTGGGTCAAAAAACTTGACTAAATATGGAAGCTGAATTTACTACTTCCACCCCCACTTCCTTGAGTCGGCTCCAAGGGCTTTAGCTACACCTACATCATTCCAGCTTTAGAGATTGGTGCTAAAAGAATAGAGTTCTAAGTAAAACTTCAACTAGGAGTGACTGAATATCACCATCTACAGTTTAAGGACATTAGGAGTTTAAGTAGCATGAGTACTACTGACGTAACCTTAAAAGATCCCTGAACACCACCCATTTCCTTAATTGAAACAAAATATACTAAATTGCATAAGCTTAATCCTTGATCTAGTATGTATATAAGAAACTTCCTGAGACAGTCTGTTTGCTTTGAGAAAGATAAAGCTTTGAAGAGCTATGGTATCTGCTTATCATTGTTAATGCACTTAAAAATCAGATGCTGAACAGAGCTGCTCGATACCTGTATTTATGTGTAGAGTGCACATTGTAGATCTCCCGTCTCAGAAAAGAATAAACATTTACTAAGAGTACATCAGACACATTTCTTGTCAAGCTCAGTGCCTTAGTTTCTTCTGAAATGTACACTAAATATTAACCTGCTTAAAATCTTTGAACTATTATTTATTGTAACCTTGTTTGCTTCATTTAGGATTTCAAGCATACCAAGTCCTTTTTTATTTAGAAGATTTCAGCCTCTATGAGGGACATCAAATTACTACTTGTTATACAAAAGTATCAATGTCCTGGTTTCAGCTGGGTTAATTTTCTTCATAGTAGCTGTGTTTTGGATTTAATATGAGAATAAATTTGATAACACACTGATGTTTTAGTTGCTGCTGAGTAGTGCTTACTCCAAGTCAAAGAGTCCTCAGATTCCTATGGTCTTCCAGTGAGGAGCTGCAAAAGAAGCATGGACAGAACACAGCTGGGACAGCTCATCTGAGTTGTCCAAAGGGATATGCACAGAATCACAGAATCATAGAATAAGCTGAGTTGGAAGGGACCCATCAGGATCATGAAGTCCAACTCCTGGCCCTGCACAGGACACCCCAAGAATCACACCATGCTCCTGAAAGCATTGTCCAAACACTTCTGGAACTCAAACAGCCTTGGTGCTCAGTGACCACCTCCACGCCAGAATATCATGCTCAGTATTTAAATTGGGGAAGTTGGCCCAGAGGAGCCAACTGCTGCTGGGGAACAGGCTGGTCATCAGTCAGCAGGCGGTGATAAATTGTTGTGCATCACTTGCCTTTCTTGGGCTTTACTCCTCTCTCTCCTTTTCACTACAATTCATATTATTGTTGTTATTAATGTCATTAGCATTATTAGTATCTTATTTTACTTTGTTTCAATTATTAAACTGTTGTTCTCTCAACCCACCAGTTTTACTTTTTTTTTTCCCCAGTTCTCCCACTGGGCTGGGGTGGGGACAGTAAGCAAGCAGCCACATGGGACTGAGCTGCTGGCAGTTCTTTTTGGCACTCAACGTGGGACTCAAAAGGTTGAGATAAAAACAGATCTGACTAAAGCATGTTAAAACAAGTTTGTTATAAGCCTTCATTGTATTGGTTTAATAGTTGCTGGTCACCATACTGATTCATTTGCTCTAGGCCTAGGCTAAGGTTATCACGGTGTTGTTCTGTGTTGTACTGGCTTGTGGTATGATGGAATGGCTGGTCAGGAGCTTGTCTGGCGTGTCCCCGCTGCCCTTTGGGAGCCATCTGGTGGAAACTATCCACAGTTACATCTACTGCCTTCTACCCTCAGAGCAAACCCATGGGAAAAACACCTTCCTTCCCCTCCAGGATGATTACGATTTGAGCATTTGAGAATTTTAAAGACTTTGCATATCCTGTGACTACCCCTGAAACCGACCTGGTCCTTTTGGTAACAATCAGTATGTTGTTGCATATGGTTCAGGCCTTCTTTAAGGTTAAGAAACAATCTGTGGCTACGGAAACCCCACCAACACATTCTGTACCTATACAAACTTCAGTAACAGGTCAACAAGAGGCAACCATTCAAAACTTATTCCTGAGTGAGCTGCAGGATATACATAAATATTTCAGCTGTTGTCATGATAAGCATACTACCAGCCAGCTGTTCTGATGCTGGGATAACGGGACTAACGGATTGGAATTAGAGGGTAGGAATCACTTTCTAAGAAAGCATGCATTGACAAGGTGATTGCAAGAGAGACACAAGTTACCAGCCTCTGGAAGCAACTCCTGTCAAACCTGAAGGAAAGGTATCCTTACAAGAATGATGTTACATGTCACCATGCAAGTGGAAAGATATCCAATACTTGAGGGAATTAGCCATGCTAGAGATTTATTTTGGCCTGGACAATACAAGGTTCCCCACAGATCCAGACCAATTTCTATGTGACCCACGTGGTGGAAGTTTGCAGAGTGTACCAAGAGTACACACCAACCCACTGCCAATGTTACTCTAAAAAGACACCACACCACCATCTGTGGATACAGTGGCTCGCCATCTCTGGGAATGTGAAGACAATCTCTCTTCCTCTTTCATCTGTGGAGAAACTATCAGATAAACTGTCCCAGGAGTTTCAGCAGTTCAAAGAGGTTATGTTCTATTCCCCACCTCTACAGACCCATGCTACTGACAGTAAGCATTGGCTCAAGAGGGAGGATATGGAAGGTACATGACATGGGATACCCTGTGGGTTTAGCTGAGACCACAGAGAAGGCATGAAGAATTGGGATGGGAGACCTACCTCAACCTTAGAGATACAAATTTTAAGGAAAACAATCCCAAATGGGGGTTCTTCCAGGAAAGCCGCTACTCCTGTCTCCAGTGGATGGTTTCCCAGGCAGAGTGGAAGGGCTGAATTTACTCCTAATCCTATGGAATGGAATTCTAATCCATTTCTTCAAAAAGTAAGCTTAGATGTGGGTTTTTTGAAAATGCATATCCCGAACCATGTAAGCCCTCTTTATCACGTGATTCAGAAGAATGATTTCACAGGGGCCCTGAGCAACATCACCAAGCTTTTGAACAGAATGAACTAGAAATACTTGGAAAATACTCACAGATGCTTGGGCCAAGGAACATGGCATTTAGTGGATATATTGTATCATGCACCACCTGAGAAAAACAACATGATCCATTGGGCTGTTAGACTACACTGAGGGCAACGGCCAGGGGCAGCCTTCGAACATTGGGATGCACATTGGCAAAGGCCACCTGGTGAGTCAGCACTAGATCTGCCAAGTGGGCTGGCCCTGCCCAATCAAAACTTTTACTGTAGAAGAGAATAAAGTTATTGTAGTGCATATGAAAACTGTACTGCGGAAGACAGTCTGGGTTGTTCCTGCCTTGGGCAAAGGCAACCTCATTTATGGGATTGTTTTTGCTTGAGGACTTGGGCACACTTGTTAAGACAGGAGGATGGGCAAGTCTGGTTTGTGCATTGAGTGGATTTGATTGAATAGCCAGTGCATTGTGTGATGCTAATCGCTGTGTATTAGCACTTCTACATCAGCTGCATGCCCATGATTGCACTGGGCACCTCATGGTGCCTGTCTCCACCCCTCCAGCTTTGGGGATCTGAACCCAACTCCCCTTCAACTGCCATATTAAGAATGAACGTTGATGTAACTGGTCAAGCAGAGCAGCGACGGAATCAGAACTGGCTTCAACATGTTACAATCCAACACTCACAAGTCATGACTGTCATAAGCCAAAAGTCACAGACTAAATTAATTCAACAGACTTGTATGGGAATTAAGGAAATGGCGTGCATCTATAAAAAGACGGGAAAGGTGGTGGTGTATCAGGAAGTGTGGGATCCAGCATGACAAATGATATGGAGTAAGCAGCTACTACTTTTCTGGTTTCAGCTGGGAGTTAATTTTCTTCCTAGTAGCTGGTACAGAGCCGATTTCTTTAGAATTAGAATAATGTCAATAACACAATAATGTTCCAGTTGTTGCTCAGCAGTACTTACCCCAAGTCAAAGACTTTTCAGTGTCTGATGCTCTGCCAGTGAGAAGGTGTTCAAGCCACGAGGGAACAGGGCCAGGACTCTGACATGAACTGGGCAAAGGGATATAACACCATGCCCAGTATTTAAACTGGGGGAAGTTGGCTGGGAGGGACCATTTGCTGCTGGGGAACAGGCTGGGCATCAGTCAGTGAGTGGTGACTGGCACTTGTGCTTCTCAGGTTTTCTCCCTCTTTCCCATATTATTACTTTGGTTCAATTATTTAAGTGCTTTATCTCAACCCACAGATTTTGTTTCTAATTCCCTTCCCTACAGTAGGGGGAGGGGACAGGGAGTGAGCCAGAGGCTATGATATACTTAGTTGCCAACTGGGGTTAAACCACAACATCAAGGGATCTTTTGATTTCTGCTCTATAAATATTGCTTCCATGTCTTGCATGCTCAAAATAGAAACTACCAATATTTAGTCAACCTAGCTGTGATGGTATTAAAAAAACCCAAAACAACTTCCAAATAAACTTAAAGACAAATTAACTTGTCTCTTCAATTTAGTTCTGCGTGAAAGCTTCTCATTTTGTTCATATGTACATGCAGCAATACAAGATTCACTCTTGCAGCTTGGAACAATCTATTCAAGTAATTTTCATAGATGATCTCACTACTTATGTCTCAACCATTGTCAAGGACTCAAACTTCTCCTGCAATTTTGATTTACTAGAACTTAGAGATGATTTTGGGAATCTGATACAATTTCAAAGTGTGTAGAAGTAAACTCACTATGCTGACAAAAGAAATCCCCCTGTAATAAAAGCTCAATCAGTGTTTTAGTGTTTAATGTGGAAGCCTCTCTGTAGACTGTGTATGTAGTTTCATTCTGAAGAAAAATCATGTCAATACAATTCAAACTGTAGTATGTAGACTCTAACTGTCAAAGTGCTTATGTAGTTTCTCAGATATAATTATTATAAATAAATAGCTCCTCATAAGCTAAAGTGTTTGTGTCAATAGTTCAGTCACAGAAATTAACACCTTACAATATCTTTAGAAGACTTCATTTTCTTCTGGAAGATTAACTTCATCACCTTTGTGTTCATTGATGCAGTGTAGAATTAGGGCATTTGTGCCTATGCTTTTGACTGTGCAGCTCCATCACTACTGTAGGGCTTTGCTACAGAATTAAGGTTCATGGAGATTTTTTTTCTGCAGAAGCCTTTTGGATAAACTCAACAGAACAAATAGTTCCTTCCTGATATATAATTATAAATGTTATAATATCTAAGAATTAAAGCATAGTACACAAAGGAGTTTTGCAGTTAACACTGAGCAGCACTATTCAGCTGCCTCTTGTCATGTAAGAGTTGGTGATCACAGCTAGCTACACTCACCACGCAGTTAAGAACTTCTTCACACCACTGAAATCAAACTGAAGCACTACATTTATTAAATTACAACTGGTGCCATTTTCAGCAACTCCATGCCTGTACATTGCTGTTTGGTGTACAAGATGCAGAGATCACTTTGGAGTCTCCTCAAACTTGGGCTCTACAGGAGGAATGGGAGAGAGAAAATTCCTATTAGTCTCTTTTTATTCCATTTTCAAACACCACAATTAATTTGTAATTCAAAGAAAACTAACCATTACATTGGCAAGCTAAAGCAGTGCATTGCAGTCTACACCCCCACTGACTGATTAATTGTGGGCAGCAGTAAACAGTAACGAGGCTGGAGACAGGTCTTTTCCACCTTGTGGGAGTCATGTATCAAGGCTAAGCCTCAGTAATATTCTGCCTAAACAGCTCCTAGTGACACCTGGGATAGGGGAGAAGATAGCAGAGAAACTGAAGAAGTCAACCAGAACGTTATTGGACAAGTATATTTCCAACATAGCTCTAATAACAAGTAATCTCTCTTCTCTCCCTTTCATTAGTGTATCATCAGTGTGTAGTAACAGAGAGGAGCACACAATTTAAACTCAACTTGGCAAGATACTCTCCACATGCAAACACTGACCAAGGAGTTCTTGATGTCAAAGGTACAGGCTCACAAAGGTTAGGACTTTGGGCTACTCATGCCTGCTGTCATTAATACAAAGTCTTAGAGGCAAGGCTCAGCTTATAGTAAGCATCCCTAAGGTAAAAAAATTCATGTTTCTACTCATATAATTACTCATATTAATTACAATTTGAAGCCTAAATGAAATTAGATCAAAGATAGGAAACAGTGGCAAAAGAACAAAGTCACGTTGTGTCTGTGCTTTGCTCTGTTCCTATGGTCACACAAATTCTTTTTCCTTACGAAAACAAGTACAATTTTAATATGTATAGTTTCACGTATGACACGGAAATAGAACTGAATGTAGAGAAACTACCTCCCTAAAATTGTGGAAAAATAAAAAAAAGGAAAACCAAAGATTCTACTTTACAAGTACTCTGTTTTATCTGCACCAGTAACAACCTGATACCAACTTTACCCAACTAAAATACTTACAAAATCCAAAACATTTTCAAGTGTGCTCCAAGTCTAAATTAGAATTCTCAGACAGTCTGATCAGAACTGCAAGTTGCTGACTATGGTTGCTTGGCGTTGGCTGGTTGCCAGGTACTCACCAAGCCTCCTGCTGTCTGCCCTTTCCCTTCCATGCTAAAACAAACTTAGAGCAGCTAAACAGAAGTCATAACCAAATCAATGAAGAAAAAATATGTGGCTTAACATAATTCAGCCACAAAATATCCATAAGTAAGGAAATTAAGTCCTATGTTCATTTTCTGAGATCAGTGGCTTTCCAGAGATGCTTACAAAATCAAAAAAGGCACAGTTTGGATGATATTAAGACTGATATTCACATTACAGTCTGCTGATCTTTTTGGCAAGATGAGAAAAATACAGACCCTAGGCTATTTCTATTTGAGCTCTTTCTTTAGGGTGTCCTTCTTTCTGAAGGACAATTAAGATAGCCTGATCTGACTGAGAATTTTGTTAATTAGTATAATGAAAACCATACCTCTGCTAGAAAAGGCAAATAATCAAAACAGGAGTCACATGGAAACAGATGTGAACTGTGGAAAAGCATAAGATTCCCAGAGGGCATTTTACAAAAAATTAATGGTACAAATATAAACTAAAGGGGAATGTAAAAAAAACTGTGAGTGGACATGTCTCTACTTGCAATTAGAATTCAGTAAAGTTGTTAACTCACCCTCAAATTTAAATTCTGGAAACTTGGTGAGATCTCCCTCACCATACGCCCGTTGGAGTCTTGCAAGGGATTCATTCATATCTTTCTGAAATTCAGGTCCTGCATCAACAGGCCCTCCAGCTTGCCTAATAAACATTAAAAGCTGTGATTAACAACTCAGTTCTAATATTTCACATGGAAAATTCTACATTTTCAATCCCATTTATAAATTAAAACCTTCCTAACATCCAGTCAAAAGAAATAATTTAAGATATTTCCAAAACTCAACATATTACACCTTAGGGCCTCCTTACCTTACACACAAACAAGATTCTCAGGGTAAAGGTTTTCTGCTGTCAGTGATGAAAATCCAACTATCAGGGATGAAAATCCAAGCCTTTTGAGACAAAAGGTGGTCTTATGAGGCAAAAACACTGACGAGTATGGAGGCTCTCCAGGCTCTTAGTTTTGTTTGTTCCAGGTGAATTCTAACAAAATTGTGATTTCCAACTCTTCTGTCTCTGAACTAGTTATCTCAGTTAGTAAAGCTTACCTGTTCTTACAAAGAAAATGCATTTTGAATACTAAAGAAGCAAAACAGGAGCTTCTTGGGATTCAAGCATCAGATAACTAAAACAGTAACTCTTTAGATTGCCAGCACTCCATTGTACCAGCACAGGATCCATGCTTACAATTGGTAAAACCATCAAATATCTGCCTCCCTACACAGATGGGTTTGTAAGTAAGGACAGACATGTCTTCTACCAGCAGAGCTAAGAAGCATCTTAATTCCTTCCCAGGAATATTTCCCGAGAATAAATTACACAGAATTACTATAGTTTTTGTTTCCTGGTCAGCAGTTCATTCAAACATTACAAGAATCTAGGGTTCCATTTTTTAGGAACTGCTTATTAACTTAAGATGTTAAATGAACCATCCTGATAATTCCATTAATTCTCAACTGATTTTGGTGGCTATTTCCATTCAGCTTCTGGAAACAAGACTACAGAATAACTGTTTTCCCCAGCCAAAAAAAAAGAAAGAAAGGGTTTGTTTAGCCTTTCCCCCCCCCTATTTATAGAGTATGTAGATGGGTAAAAATTAACATAACACTACATTAATGCAGCATGTAAGAGACTTTAACTGTGTGGTTTAACCACCCAAGAAGAATGACATCACATTTTTTCTTTTTTAAGGGAAAAAAATTGGTATTTTCTATTAGACATGCAAGAACAACCCTTCCCACTAGTGAAACCGTAAGTGTTGCAGGAAAACACACCTTAAATATTTACAGACCAGCCTACAGGAGTATCAAATTGTCAAAAACCAACCACTTCAGGTCTGATGTTTTTATGTCAAAATCAACAGATTTCCCCCTTTTGCCATCAGCCCCCTCCTTAAGACAATTTCTTTTACTTACTTGCTCTTCGTGTTGTACTCTCTGATCTTGTCCAAGAAGAGCTTCTGGACTGGGTCGAGTTCTTTTGCCTTGTTGAAGACAATGGCAGAGAGCCCAATGTTCCTGCGCACGTGAGTGGCCACGGCGGAGTGGAAAAGGGAGGAAAGCCGCAAGATCTGCTGCAGGATCATGATGGCACTAGTACTTTAACCATTAATAAAACACAAAAGCAGGAATAAAGAATCAGTCACAGCGATATAACAAACGCATTCAAAAAGCAGGAAAAAAAAAAACAGCTTGGAGCAAAAACCAGAAAAGTATTTAAAAGATATTTCCTTTAAGATCTTATTAAGATAAATGCAGAAGAAAGAAAGAAAAATGTACTTTGGGGCTGAACTTTAAAGCAGAGGTTATTTCAAAGGAGCATATTCAAAGGTTATATATAAAGGTTATATATAAATTTATATATATATAAAACAGCACATTCAAAGGTTTATATATATATAGATAGATAGATAGATATAAAGGTTTATATATTTATATATATATATATATATATATATAATTGTTATATTCGAAGGTTATTTAAAATAGCGTGGGGGGAGGGGAAATTCCAGCAACCACTGAACCCGAGGGCACCGTGGGTGCGCGACCCGTCCGGCACGGAACCACGACAGAACAACCCAGACAAACCGTGAATTCCGCTCTCCGCGCTGTCAAAGCAGGGAAAAAAGGCGACAATTCCAACCCCAGAGTCACCTTGGCCGAACCCCCGGGGCAGCCCGGCCCCGCCGCCCTCGCAGTGCGCGCCGGGAATCACCGTCCCCATCCCCTCCTCCCCGCGCACACCGGCAGCCGCGCACACCGCCCGGCCTGCGAAGAGCCCGGCAGCGTGGTACCCACGCAGAGCCGCTTCCCACCGAGAGCCCGGCAGCGTGGTACCCACGCAGAGCCGCTTCCCACCGAGACCCGGCAGCGTGGTACCCAGGCAGAGCCGCTTCCCGCGGAGAGCCCCGCGCTCCTCGTTCCGCACAGAGCCGCTCCCAGCCGAGGGAAAGCGGCTCGGGGCCTTCCGGAGCCGCGGGGGCTGCTGGGACTCGTAGTTCGTGCGGGGCGCGGCGCTGTCGCGCGTTTCCCCGCGCTGGGCCTGCGCGCCGCCCCGATCGCGGCGCTGCCGCTCCCGGAGCCGCTCCCGGAGCCGCTCCCGGAGCCGGAGCTGGGCGAGCTCCCTGAGGCGGACGCGCGGCGGGACGTGCCGGTGCGGCGGGCGAGCGGACGGACGGACGGGCGGTGGCGGCGGCAGGTGAGCGCGGCCCGGCCCGTGTTTTGTTTCCGTTTGTCTCCCGGCGGCTCCGCGGTCCCATTTCCGTTTCGGGTTCAAACAACGACGCGGAGGCGCCGCGGGAAGCGGG